TATCCATGTCTTATTAAGTCCCATTTCTAAGTATTTACTTGAGGGTAGGACTGTCTATTACCACAGGTACCAGCAACTGGAGAGACCAGAGTGAGTGAACTTAAGCACCAGAAGCTGGATTAGGGCCACCGACCAGTAAGAGGTACCATTTGTTCATCATGCTGGCAGCAGGGGTGAGGGACAGTGTGTGAGTGTGTGATCACTAGTGAACATGAAGCCAGACAATCCGTAAAGTAAATGAGGCGACCTGGGTTCCAGGTGTATGTCTCGAATGGCAAGAGCAGTGGCAGGTGGAGCAGGGGAGTCCCAGGCATCTCCTGGAGAGGGGGCTGTGTGGGAGGTTTGTGTGTGCATGTGCATACCAGCAACTGCAGGACTTGGGGGCTCATGGGTCCGGGTGCTGGCACATGTGGTGACGGGGATCCAGGGGCATCTACTGGACTCAATGTCCAAATATGGAAACCTATGGAAAATTTGCACATTGTACATACATATACATCTATTTCCCGCTACCTAGAACACTTATTTCCCATTATACACCCCAACCAGAGGGGGATGAAAGATAAGGTGATTAGTGCTGATTCTGTTTGTGGGTGGGGTGAGTGCATCTCTGTTGATCTGTGTATTTGGTTTTGTGTACATGTATATGCTTTGTATACATGTGTGTCTACTCAGGATACATTCTCAGCCTTGCTACTGGCTGGGCCAGGGGACATGGAGCCATGGCAGCCTCCTCTCAGGCCACCATATTCAGCCCAGCCTACCAGTGAACCTCATCTCCTCCTTAATGGAAAAAGAGATCATAGAATAGACGTGACAATAAGGAAAGGGCAGAGGTACCCTGACTGCACGGAAGAGAACCCAAGGAACAAGGAAAAGATTTCTACTGAAGGGTGTTTAATATAAACTGGAAACAGTAAGTACTGGCTTAGCAGGGATCTGTGCTGGATTTGGAAACTACTGTCATAGAACAGACCATCAAACAAAGGCTCTCCTGTTCCAAATGATAGAGAAAAATGCCTGTTGCAATACAAGGAAGGCACCATCTGGGTCAATGGTGACTATGAGCATCAGATGTCTCTTTAGTCATAGTGGATTTAAGGCATCTCAGGTCAGTTTCTTTCAGTAGCCCCTACCAGTACAGGAAGTTTCTCCAGGGCCAACTCTTTGCAGACAATTCTGAGAGAAATCCTTCCTCTTCAGGCTTGTCATCACAGATATCTTGCCCAACCAGACCCATGCTGCTCCTTTCCCACCTCTCATCCCCAACCAAGCCATTCTAATTCCATTTCTAACAGAAGCAGCTGTGTCTGCTTGCTTGGTGCAAGTTCCTCTTCCTCATCCTTTCTATTTCACTGTGTCAGCTTTGCTGGTTACCACTTCTAAACTTCTTCCCAAGTTTTTCAGACCTTCTGACTTTTCACGTCACCACCTTTACACTTTTCCTGGTTCTTCTTTGCCTTCCTTTTTGTTTCCCAAACTTTCCATCCTGTATTCTTACAGAAAAGAGGCAGCTTCTAGGTTTGGAGATGGTAAAATTGCCCAGTAGTGGCCCAGTTCACACTTGGGGTACGCAGACCATTCAGGGAAGGTTCTTCATGCTGCTCTCTTACAGATCGTGTACTGGGTAAAATGGATTTAAGAAATACTTTCAAATCTAATCTCCCCCATCTGCTATGTCCTTTTAGGGCCCTTCCTTTCTGATCCAGCCATTTGCTGAAAATTCCTGGGACACAGTCTGTTTCCTGCCTCAGAGGTGGATGCTTTATGTCCACATTTGGCTCCATGTGGAGAACCCTGTTCTTATGATTTTCCTACCTTCTTCCCGGTACCATGCTCTCTTCTTACTTTGATGTTTCCTCAGTGCCTTTGGCCACAGTCATCTAGTACCCTTTCCTAGTTGTGAGCTCAGACACTCTGAAAGAAGTCATAACTTTCCTTCTTCACAGCCCAAAAAATTAGTAAAAACCAGAATTACTGCAGGGTAGCGAAGAAATTAGTGATGACATGAAGGCAACGCAGAAATAGACACTGTTGGACACTGTTACAGCAGAATGTAAGAAACCAAATTTAAGGTATCTGTAGGTATTTGTTGAAAGTAGTAGAACAGTGGTCTCCAAACATGTTTCATTGTGCACCCCATCAGTAAAATATTTTTAAACAAGCACCTCCAGTACATGTATATTTCGTAGTTGATAATTTTATACATATAACACTAAAGTTCTAATGCACCCTTCCCATGCTTCAGTGCATCATCTTACTCACCTTCAGGGGTGCATGGTACCCACTTTGAAGACTCCTGCATAGGAACATTGTAAGCCAACAGCCTTTCTCTGAATATCAATTACAGATGTAAAGACTAGAAGATGCACAGAGCTTCACCACTCTCCTGTCCCCCAGCAACTGAGGAGCTGGTGTTCCTAGGTCTCAGGTGTGCCTTTCCAGAAGCACCTCACAGGCACAGGACATTTGGGAAGAGAGAGAACCAATGGTGCCTCCATCACCAAGATCTGCGAGCTGTAAAAGGACTAACCTCAGAAGCTCCTCTGGTTTCTGTTCACAGGAAGCTTTATCTCTGTCAGCCCATGGTCTCACCAGGTTTCTCTTTCCCGAGATCTTTCATCAGCCTGGACAAATGGATTTCCTTTATCTGAGTCCAGTGTTGACACAGCTGACTGAAATACTTGAAGTAGGAAGATGGAGTTCTAGAAATGTGAACTGCCATTGCTTGTCCATTGATAATACCTAGTAGAGCTGACCTCAATACACCAGTCCTCCTCCTTCCTGTGCCACTGAAACCACCAGCTTTCTGTGGCAGCATCACTGCATAAACCAAGAGATTCATTTGCAGCAGCAGATGTACAACCTTGAGTGTATTCTTTCAAAGACCCTCTAAAAAACTTACAATATGGAATGTTTAGCAGTGTATCTGATTACAGCCTGTCTTAATGCCAATGGCATGTTTTGAAAAAAGAAATTATAAATCCACAGGGAGATCAGATTATACATTCTGTAGACTAGAAATTCTTCTTGTTCTGCTTAGCTATGATGGCATTGGATAGCTTTGGTAATCTTTCCACAAATAGGGCTATTATGGACCTTTTGCTTTTCCACGGAAAGCTTCTAATCCTTACTTCTTTCCCAAAATAAAACATGCTTCTAAGAAAGCTAGGCAGTGACCCCAGTTTAAAGGTCAACAAAATCCATGCAGCCCCATAGAAAAGTTGCTGGCCTTGGACATGTGCTTTAGCCTAAAGGAAAACTTCATCTGGACAGTGCCACTTTGGGTGTCAGTCCTCCAGGGTTCTCAAAACATGGATCATGGAATGGAGTAGAAAGACTATTCCTATGTAGTCTCTCATGCTATTAAAGCATCTCAAAAAATATGGCTTCTGTTTAATGTCTCTTGAGAATATCTCACATCTTTCAGGAGCTAACATGATGAAGTTGGCAGTTGCCTGGAAAATGAAAAGGATTTTTCATCAAATGCATTAAGCTTTAGCAAACTTTGCATCATGACAGAAATCCTTCACCTTCCCAAGAAGGATTTCAGAAGAGCTCGCTACTTGTGTTCCCAGTATTATTTTTCATATACACTACATTCATAAACATCAACATTATCCTGAAATTCTTCTGTGGCAAAAATGAGTCTCTGTAGAACACTCCAAAGATGAATAAAAAGCAGGCCTTGGTACTTTAGCAGTTATTTTCTTAGAGATTAGGAGAGAGAAATTAGGAAAGGGAGACAGTGAGCATTCCCACATTTGAAGTATATAACTTGGGGAGTGGTGGACGACACAAAATAGTTTTCGTCATACTCCCTTTGGAAATTACTTGTGAGGAATTTTAGTTAGGAAATCACTGTTTTCTATATGACAAAACACACAGACACTATTCAAGGAAAGGGATAAACTTAACAAAGTTAACCAGTGGTTTGTTGGCTTTCCCCTGTCTCCCCAAAGAAATGCATTGTATCTTTCTGTCCACTACCTACATAATTCAGCTTCTGGTGAAAATATGCATTCCTAAGAAAGACATCATCAGCACAGAGGAATCTCAAAGGGGTTTGAGACTTCTTCTCAACAGGTGCTGAGTTTAAGAATGAGGCAGACAAACAACTAGGCATCTGCCAAAGCCAAAATGTATTTTTAAATTGAAGGCTGCCCTCTGGAATAACTTAAAATAGCTCTCTGTCTTAAGAGAGGTTTATGATTAACAGATATATTATTTCTACTTTCTACTAGGGCCTGTTAATGCCCACGTTTGGATCTTCAAATTTTCCACTGTGTACTTTTTGTCTGGAGAAAACCTTGGACTAGAGATAAGGCCATATCCAAAAATGTATTTCTAGCAGCTCCTGCTTCCAGTCAATCTGTCTGGGCTTGAGGTTGAATCAAGACCATGAAGTGCCTGCTGTTTCTCGCCTTTGTTGGGGCGGCTGGTGAGTATGTTTTTTACTTCTATTTCTGTAATGTAAAAGGAAGCTGATTTTCTGAGCAAAATGGCAAGGTAGCCTGTTGTGGGAAAGCCACACCTTGTTTCAACTTGCCGAAGTTTCAAGGCAGAGTCCTGCAACTTCTGTCTTCTGTTTGCAATTGCTTGTGTCAAAGCATGGGGAATGAACACCTTCACAGGGGTTCCTGACCCAGCAACACAGGAATATGTCCACAGCTCAAGAAAAAGACTCCCTCTCTCTTAAGAAACACACAGATAAGAGTTCTGACCCAGGAAGCCCTAAAGCAGCTGTACAATTTTAGACTCTAGGCGGGCTCTTGCTCCAAGGAAATGGCACCGTGGACTTGTTTTGTACTTTTGTGTTCAGTCCACTCTTGACCATTTCTGCAGACAGGATCCTGGGGAAGACACACCTTTCCTCCGATCCATCAAGCAAATTTCTATGTTCTTCTGTTCACTCAGGGAGTAGCTGGACATGCTTTAGTTGGTGACTTGTGAGACACCAGACTAAGCCTGATCACCTTATTGGAGGGTGCAGCAAGTGAATGTCCATTGCACTTGCTCACCACTGCTACCCTGAGTTTTATAGAAGCACAACCTCCAAGTGGGGTGCACAAGGTACCTTAGACCAGGTGTTGACATGTGGCACTTCTTATCTCCCAGTTGCCTTCCCCAGCATCGCTGAGGATGATGACGACAAGATCGTGGGAGGCTACACCTGTGCAGAGAACTCTGTTCCCTATCAGGTGTCCCTGAATTCCGGATATCACTTCTGTGGAGGTTCCCTCATCAGCAGCCAGTGGGTCCTGTCAGCTGCTCACTGCTACAAATAGTGAGTGGAAAACTTTACATTCTTCTCCAACTGACTTCTCTCTTCCAGCTCACTTCTAGTAGGAATTCAGAGTTATGAGATACAAATAGGGAAGTGGCTCTGTTGTGACCTGAGACAGCCAAGGGATGGGTGGCTCATTCAGGAAGGTGGGTTGAGGCACCCAAAAGGGTTTTTTCCTTCTGCAAATGTTTCTGTCAACGCACTTTCTGAAATGACAATGGAATAATCGAGAAACAAGTTACGGGCTATGATTTCTTGTCCATTCCATGAATCCAGCTAAAGCAGGGTCACTGCAGAACAGGAAGAGCAATGAGGTCCGGACTTTTTCCAGAATGTTTCTATAAATCACTGCAATATATTCTACTACCATCTATACATAACCCTACAGAAATCCACCACCCCTACTGGGAGTGGGTAAAGATCTCAGTGTGGATTCCCTTGGCTTATGCAGGACAAGAAAGATAACCCACCCAAAAGAACTAGTGGGGCAGCGATGTAGAAGCAAGGGCATCAAGTGACAGAGAGGTTTCTCTTAAGCTGTACAAGGGTAGCAGAAAAGTACATGCCGTGCCTTCTCTTTTTTGCAGTCGCATCCAAGTGCAGCTCGGGAAAAATAACCTGGCCCTGACAGAATCAACACAGCTGTTTATTAACTCAGCTAAAGTCATCCGCCACTCTGGCTACAGCGCCTATACCCTGAACAATGACATCATGCTCATCAAGCTTGCCACCCCAGCCCAGCTCAGCAAGGCTATCCAAACAGTTCCTCTGCCCACCAGCTGTGTGGCCGCTGGCACCACTTGCCTGATCTCCGGCTGGGGCAACACACTCAGCAGTGGCAGTGAGTACTCTGTGGGAATGTACAGCCCCCTGGGGGCCTGCGAGACTCTCAAAGACCTCACCATTAATTCCAAACAGGGCAGGGTAAAGCACAGAGAAGTGCTGTGCAACAGGGCTTTTGGAGTGATGGGTCAGGGAACGACAGTAACCGTTTGACTGCAGTGATGCAAGCCTTTGCAAGGTCCTTCCTCTCATTCTGTCTTATGAACACGGGATCACTGAAGCCACCCATGCACTGTTTACCAGCACGTTCACAGAGCCATTAATTTTGTGGCCTGGTGCTCTCAGCTGTGCCATGCCAAGCACTAGCAATGTAGCTATTGTCAACAGAGTTGTCAGTTCTTTGAGAACAAGGGCAAAGTCTGGGACTGTGGATCTACAATTCCTACTAGACACCTTCTCTCTCTTACACTGGTGGATAGTGACTGATATCTAATCCACTGATGACATCTAAACCTGCACCAGAGGAGAGGATCGTTGTCCTGAGGCTCAGCCTGCTTCCAGCATATGTGCCACAAGAGTGGCTCCACACTTGCCAACTGGTGATTTTCTAGGTACCAGAGAAATTAAGGTGGCTGCAGTGTAGAATGGTGGGCCTATAGGTAGAGTCTGTTCCATGTAAACAGAAGGAATCCATGCTGTGGTTACTGTTCAGATGAAGAGGGACAACTGCTGGAATAGGATGTCCAGTGACTACTTGCCTGTTTAAAAAGAACTTCTCTGGGCCATGAAAGGAACTCAGCGATGTCATCAACCATCTCTCCTTGTTTTCTTGTAGGTAACTATCCAGATGAGCTGCAGTGCCTGAAGGCTCCGGTGCTGTCTGCCACTGACTGCCAGAACGCCTACCCTGGTCAGATTACAAGCAACATGATGTGTGTAGGATTCCTGGAGGGAGGAAAAGACTCCTGCCAGGTAAATCCTCTGCCTCTCCTGTCCCATTTGCTTCTCTCCTGCCTTTTCCCAGCCAAAGAGGCCTTCATGTCACACAATCAGCTCTACTCCCTGCCCTGGCACATCTGAATTTTTGAATGACAGCAGAGGTTTAGGGCATGCATATCCTAAGCATCTGACAAGGACGACATCCAGCAAAACCAGGCAGCTTCTTCATCCTTAGCTGTGGTGCCCTTGGAGCTCAAGTCAGGCATGCTAGCATCAGGGGGAGAGTGCTCATCAGAAATGTAGAACTACCTTCTACCTATACAGAATTTCTGTCTAGAGTAAGCCTGACAGAGGTTCCTTAAATGTCAGGGATTTCAGGCATCTCTGGCTCATTGCTCAGGCTGATGCCATTGGCTGACTATCCATATCCTTTGTGTGCACAGGGAGATTCCGGCGGTCCCGTGGTCTGCAACGGAGAGCTCCAGGGCATTGTTTCCTGGGGCATTGGATGTGCCCAGAAAGGCTACCCTGGAGTTTACACCAAGGTTTGCAATTACGTCTCCTGGATCCAATCCACTATAGCCGCCAACTGAGACCCTCTCACTCAATGTGACCTGCTTTTTCTCATCATCCTTTCCTCTCTTTTGGGTCTGGACAAACAAACACCATGAAAAATTAATAAAGACTTTCAGGCACCCCTACTTTGTGCACTGTTTCTCTGGGAACTTCCCTCGGCTGCGATAAGGAGGACAGAGGCAGGAACATCACTCTGGGCAAAGTAGTTAATAGTTGTAGTGCCCCTCAAGTGGTAGCATCTTGGAACACTTTGCAGACACATCTTTAAGAGTCGGTTACTTGCAGGCATTTCTGGAGCAGAACATCTTTTCTGTCCTTTTGAAAAAGAAAAGGAAGAGCCCATATTCCCACAGCTCTTGAAGTCATTCTGAAATTCATCCCCCAACTCTGCCTTTTCCCCTCCTTCCACTGAAAACACAACGACCTGCAGCATGGCATCCTTTCTTTGAGCCTGCTTATCCCAGGGCAGAGCGGAATGGGAGAGGGAAGAGGGTGGTGTTTTGCGAGGAGGTCAGCAGGAGGCAGGGCATTGAGGCAGAGACTTTGGATCTCCCATGTGGAAGAGCTGGTCCTTGCCATGAGACTGATTGGGTTGTCTCATTCTGTGCTTGCAGAGCCCCAGAACGAGGCCTTGCCATCCCACATCACAAGAAGGAAAGAAGTTCAGGAGAGAGGGAGAAGGGAAGTGAGGAGGGAAGGCAGGAAAGCAACAAGAGGGAGGGAGTTAAGGTCAGGAGGGAAGGAGGAAGACATGCCAGAAAAGGAAGAAGGCAAGGAAAAAGGCAGGGGAGAAAGAAGGAAAAAAGGCAGAAATCTAGGAAAGAAGGAAAGCTAAAAGCAAAACAGGAAAGGAAGATTGCAGGAGGGCAGGAAGAAAGGCTCAGGGAGTGCTGCTAGCCATGAGTTTCTGCTGCAGCCTGGGACTCTTTCCCTACAGTCCCATGCTCTGTCCCCACACACTGTGAAGACTTGGCCTACATCACATACATCAGAGTGTTCAGGTCACAGGGTTCTAGTGTGACTTGGGGACCCTGGTTCACAGCAGCGTGCGCATTCCCTGGAGACCAGTGGGACCAGGGGACCAGTCGGCCTTGCCCTTCCAGATGGGGGGAAGGAAAAGGCTGTGTGAACTCTTCCACTTTGTGCTTCCCCACGAATTTGTGTAGCAGACTGAAAAGAGGAAGAAATGGATGAGGATGAAGGAAATAGGAGGGGAACGGGTGTGAGAGGACAGAGAAGAAAGGTTGGCAGGACAGACAGAAACACATTCAGGGAACAGCGTGAGAAGCAGTCTGTGAATGGCAGAGAAATGAGGTGAGGCAGGGAATACAAGAAGAAAGGAGAGTCAGAAAGTGATTCAGAGATGGGAAGGAAGAGGAAAGAAGTTAGAGACCTCGTAGAAGACAGAGAGACAATACCACTCTTTTCCTAAAGAGCTGGATGACAAGTGAAGAAAATGGGTTACTGTCAAATACTGGGCTCCCTGCGCACTAGTGCCAGATCCCTGTTTGCATGCAAAGGTTTGTGCTATGTTGCTCCAGCTTTTGAGTCACTGTGAATCTTGTTCAGCACAGAAATATGTGCCTGAGTCATTGAGTAGGGCATGATCTATCTTCATAGATAAACGTTTGTTCTTAGTCCCATTACTCTGGATGTGATTTAGGAATTCCTTCTCAATATATGCTTTGCTACTTTCCACTGAGTATACAACCAACAGAAGAGAGGTATCCTTCCCAGTGGGCAACTTGTACCAGTGCATGGTACTGACTCCACTCAACGTTCCGGAGCAGTTCAGAATCACAGGGTCTCCCACTTGGATGACTGTATCTGGTGATTGCTGAACAGCCCCGCCTGGAAAGAGAAGGGAAGAAATGTGGGAAGTGAAATGCCTTGAAGAGGACACAAAAATACATCCTTGAAGTATGTCATAGGATGCAGTGGCGTCTGGGTGTAAGAAAGCTGCGGGACAGTGTCCTGTTTCTCTGAAAAAGACACATAGGAGAAAACAAACAAACTAAGAATCAAACAAACCAGCTTCAAAATCAAATGTACATCTGTTTTGAAAAATAATGGCTTCAGGACTCTCACTTGAAGCATAAAAATGGGACAGAAAAAACCAAATTTGTGAGCCTACAAAGTTTTCGATTTAAGAAGTAGAGGAATAGTTCACCTTGTTCATTGCCCATCCTCCCCCTGGACGCCTTGGTGAAAGGACACTGCCAGCAATTGGGCACACCGCTGAAGCAGCAGCAGTGGCTCCAGTGCAGATGTTCAAGAGGAAGGGAAGTTCACTTACCCAGAGGAGCCAGGATGGCCACAAGGAACCAGTGGAAATCCATTGAAAAAGGCCACCTCCTTCCAGCAACCTGCCCCTGGTGACAGCACAGACACAGAGCTGTGTACAGAGGAAAGGCTGAGAGGAAGAGATACATGTGTTTGTGGGTGGGCAGGGGAGTGGGAGGGAGTCAGAAGTGTGAGAAGGCAGTTGTCTGCCTGGGAACAGTGGGAATGACACCTGCACGCAGTCCTGAGGTGCATGTACTCTGCTCCACTGACTTCCTGCTCTGTGTGTGTGTGTGTGTGTGTGTGTGTGTGTATGAGTAGGTGGAGTTAAGTGTTATCACAGGAGCATGATGGGGCTGTGTGGCAGCCTGAGTGTGGTCATGGCACAGGGATGCACAAAGAGGCACCAAATGAAGGGAAGGAAAGGGACCTCAGGAATGCATGTTTGTGTCTGTGCCCACAGCTTTTCTCCTCTCTAGACATGCTCAGACACACAGACTCCCAAGCCTGCAAGTTGCAGAGTGGAATCTTCTTTGCTGATCCCAGTCAGGCCTGACATGTTGCCTGACATGGAAAAAGTGCTGACCTGTCATCCTGGTGTCTGTTGCATGACAGAGAGTAGTTCTTTAACTGTTCTTCTCTTACTCCAAAGGGGGATCTCCAGGAGAGAAAATGCTGTCTTTGGCTCTGCCCTGGGACTACCTCTTGAGAGACTGCACCCCAGAGAGATTTCTGAAGAGAAGGGTGTGCCCCAGGGGATATGCTGGTACAGACTTTCCTTCTCCATGCCAGAGAAGAATTGATACTCTTCTGCACTCCTTATCCAACAGGACAAGAACGGACAAAGCTGGAGAAAATAATGTCTTCTTCTTGACACAGAGCCTTGTTCACCATCCCAAGGCAGTGGGAAATCACTGCCAGCAGGAAGAGAGGCTGATAGCTTGTGTACACTGGGTTGGTGTACAGAGGTCTGACCGAGACTCTGCATATCCATGCTGTGCTGCCGGCCAGCAATGCAGGGCAGTGTAAGGCTGGCCCGTACAAGACAGCAAGTGATCCGGTTGCTCAAGGTTCTCAAGGACCTTGCAATAAAGATGTCCCCCTGTGTCCCTTTAGCTGAAGAGAGCAGAAACACTTCCAGCTCCCAATCCCTCTGTTGCAGGTCTAAGTATGTCCCATTGCATTCATTTCCACCAGCTGCCTACAGAAGATTTAGGAAAGATCCCAGATTCCTCCAAAGAAAGAAAAGGGAGAAAAGAACAAAGGGGGTGGGCTACATTGTGCAGGCAGTCGGAAGGAACCGCACACCCTTGCAACACCCCAGCACTTCAGTTGAGAGGAGACTCGACTTGCTTTGTACGTGGAAAGGGCCTCCATTTCCCATGGGATTCCCTGAGGAGTGCAGGTGACAGGGCAGTGCATAGGGAGCCTTGCAGAGCACATGGTATTCAAGGAGTTAGGGATCTCAAACAGACATGTCTGCTCTGTTGGGCCTTGTATTTAGGTCTCAAGAAGCCTGTATGTTAGCATGGGAATCTGCAGTGGGGGAACCTTCTGGAATGCCTGCTGCTGGCCTGTGCCACACACTGGTGTATGTTATGTATGACAGAAAGGATCACAGAATCACAGAATGGGTAAGGTTGGGAAGGACCACAGTGGGTGAATCAGGTCCCACCCTCCCTGCTCAGGCAGGGTCTTCCTCAGAGCACGTTGAACCGGATTTTGTCCAGGTGGTTCCTGAATATCTCCAGGGAGGGAGACTCCACAAACTCTTTGGGCACTTGGTTGTAGTGCTCGGTCACCCTCACAACAAAGAAGTTCTTCCTCATGGTCAGGTGGAACTTCCAGTGCATCAGTTTCCACCCATTGCCTCTCGTCCTATGTCTCAGCACCACAGAGAAGAGCCTGACTCCATCCTCTTGACACCCTCCCTTCAGATACTTATATCTCTGGAGGAGGTCCTCTCTCAGTTGCCTCTACTCTACTTGAGGGCAGTCTGGCCCAGTTTCCTGAGCCTTTCCTCATGAGAGACACGCTCCAGTCCTTTAATTGTCTTCAGATCCCTCCACTGGACCTGCTCCGGGAGCTCCATGTCTCCCTTGTACTGAGGAGCCCAGAACTGGACACAGCCCTCCAGATGTGCCTCACCAGGGCTGAGGAGAGGGGCAGGATCACCTCCCTCAACCTGCTGGCAATGCACTTCCTCATTCACCCCAGGATACCATGGGCCTGCTTGGCCACGAGGACACACTGCTGCCTCACGGACAGCTTGTTGTCCACCAGGACCCCTAGGTCCTTCTCCACAGAGCTGCTTTCCAGCACATCGGCCCTCAGGCTGTACTGGGAAGTAATGTGGAGTTATTTGTCCCCAGGTGCAGGACCCTGCATTTGCCTTTGTTCAGTTTCAGACGGTTCCTCCCTGCCCATCTCTCCAACTTGTCAAGGTCCTTCTGAAGGGCTGCACAGCACTCCAGTGTCTCAGCCACTTCTCCCAGCTTTGTGTCATCAACCAACTTGATGAGGAGACTCTCCACCTGTTCATCCAAGTCATGGATGAATAGAACACTCTCTCCTGTTGGAAAATTTCAGTTAGCTGCACAGCTTGCTAAGACAATCTTTGGGAAAGGTAAACTGTGTGTGGATCAAGGGGTGGAAGGCATTGGTCCTGACCCAGAGAGCACTGTACATGGAGGAGTTAGTGATGCACATAACAGTTAATGGGAGTAGGCACAGGCCTGTGCTGTGCTGCACACAAACCACAAACCTTGGCTACATAACAACCAGAGAGGAGTTGTTGCAACAGAGGAGCATGTGGGCAGCTCCCACTTGGAACTGGCTACTTCGACACCTGCCTGGTCTGGCCTTGCCTTTATGTAAAGGTGCACCAGGAACTTCTCACGCAAGCATCCTTTTTGTTTGATAGTGAGAATAAACTCTCAGCATCTAAGAAGAGGAAGAAGGGAAGGCCAGGAAGCAGAGGAGGTAAAGACTTGGAAGCAATCTCCCTGTCTTGTGCAGCACCCGGAAGGAGGAAAGTAGGTCCTGTTTGTGCGGGGAGAGGTTTGTGCTCAGCTGCCTCATCAGCCTAGCCACTGTGTTTCACTCTCAGCACAGTAATACATGCCAGAATCGTTGAGAAAGGCATGCTCTATCGAGAGGGTCATACTGTCTCCTTGTATCTTACTGGCCTTGAAATGGCTCTCGAGATCCTTCTCAACAACTGCATTAGCACCTTCCACTGCAGAAGCCACTGGGGTCAGCCTGGAGTCCTTCCGCGAAGGCAGCATGTACCAGTACATTGCTGTGTTGGAGGATTTCTTCTTGGAACATCTCAGAGTCACAGGGTGGCCTTCTTGTATCACCGTGTCTGCGGACTGTTCCAGAGCCAACACTGGAAGGGTAAAGGAGTAGCATTAAAGAGAAGGAAAAAATGGAAAAATGTGAACTAGGCACTGTGAGTTGGTAGAGAAGAGGGTGCACAAAGAATTAAAAATAGACCGCCATTGCAGGAGATTTGAGGATTGCTTCCCATCTTGTTCATTGCTCATCCTCAACACTTTGTGGAATGAAACACTGCCAGCAACTGAGTACCCAGCTGGGAAAGCAGCAGTGGGATCGATGCAGGTGTTCAGGAGTAAGTTGAGTTCACTTACCCACAGGGACCATCATGGCCACAAAGAAACAGCAGGAAACCATGGGGGGAAAGCCCCTATCCTGTCAGCAACCTGTATTCTGTAGTTGTGCAGAGATATGTGAAGAGTAGCACTGAGTGAGGATGAGACATACTGGGGTGGGGCAGGACAAGAAAGGTGAGAAAGGATTGGCTGGCTGGGAACACTGGGGAATGACACAAAGCATCACAGGGAAGCGTAAAGCCTTCAGTGATGCAGTGGGCTGGGCGGTGGGGGTGGTGGGGATGGTGGAGAAGCAAGAAGGGGGTTGTATGAACAGAACTATGCTGAGGTTGCCTGGCAGTCTGAGTGTGCAAGGCAGAGGAATGCTGAGAGCTCCCCTTCTCCTTCTGAAGGCCTTGAGAGATGAAAGAATGAGGTATAAAGGACACCCACTTGTCCCTAGAATTTTCCCATTAGTTTTCCCTGTCCTCCCCAGACATGGTTGCCCCACCGCCCCTCTTCCCACCCAGCCGTGAGATGGAAGCACACTTCATCTGGCAAATTTGAGGATTACTCAGAGACTGAGACCATCTGTGTCATTCCCCCCTCTGCCCTGTGAATCCAGATGTCCAGGGTGGTTTGCTTTCCTGGCAGGACTGAGCTTGTCCTTTAGTGAGGTATGGAGGGTGCCACTGGGATACAGCCAGTGAAAGCAAAGCTGCTGTACAGTGACATTTCATTCACTTGTGCTCTGCCAGTGACACTTCTCTGCTGCTCTGCTCACCAGCTGACGAGATCCAGGCAGCTGGCATCCTCTCCACTGTGCCCTCATGTATTTCTGCTCTGAAAAACCTCCCTGAGGCCTTTCCTGCATGGGGGGAAATCTGCAAAGGATAGCTGGAGAGCCCGATGAGCACAGGGATGAACGTCTGGGAGACTGGCAAGGGTGAAAGGAACACAGGGAATAAATGACAGAGGTCTTCACTATGCCAAGCCCTGCTGGCAATACCTTTCCCTCCTCCTCCTCCTCCTTTCTGTGCCTGGAGCTCTACCTGATGACAGGGAAGGAGACTCAAGTGAAATGGACTAGGATTCCTGGTGGTACTTCTGTTCCTAATGCTGGGAAGGAGAAGGCACTAACCTTCTCTGTGTCACCCAACTCAGTGTTCCTGTGAAGAAGAAAGTTCATTGAAAGTCATGAGGAAAACTGTATGCAAGTGTTAAGCAGGAGACAGGATCAACAGGTGGAGACTGTGATATGGTGCTGAGTTTTAGATTTAGGATGAGAATAATGTTGATAACAGAGTTTTAGTTGTTGCTGAGCAGTGCTTACCTGAAATCAAGGACCTTGCATTTTCTCCTGCTCTGCCAGCCAGGAGATGCACAAGAAGCTGGAAGGGGGCTTTTCCAGGACAGCTGACCCAAACTGATCCAAAAGGATATTTCACACTGCAAACCATCGTGCTCAGAATATAAACTGCAGGGAGTTGGCCAGAAGATACCAATTGCTGCTCAGGGACAGGCTGGGTATTGGTCAGTGTGTAGTGAATTACTGTGTTGTGTGTCACTTGAGTTTGCTGACTATTATTCCTCTCTCCGTTT